GGTCTACAGACAGGCAGAGACAGGTCCTGGAGTCCAGGTGCAAGGCGGGGGTCCCGGAACTGTTTTCAGATCACTGCTGGGAAGGAGGGGAAGGGGAGGCACTATTCCTGACACAGTTGGGTACACGGTCTCAGATATCCCAAAGCTTTTATTGGGTTGCTACTGGGCAGGGGGCAAGGACCCAGGCCCATGTCATCCAGGACATGGCCTGGGCTGTTGGTGGGACTTTAGGCTACAGGATTGTGGCTGTCTTGCATCTGATGTCTGCTCTAGGTGAGGCCGGTCCGGAGGTTGGAGCTGGCTCCCTGAACATCAAAGCCAGGCAGGGCTACATCTTGGGGCTAAAAGCTACAGGGAAGATCCCACAATGGTCCTTGCCAACACCAGTGCGCATATGGTGGAAGGAGCTCCCCAGGACGGCTGCTGCCCGTGTCTGTGTCCCCAGGGTGGGCTGCAGCTGCCTCCTGCCTCCCAGAGACTCCACGATCAGCTGGTAGGTCTGACCTAGGCATCTGTCAAATTATCTCTTATGCCCTGAGTCCCAGAGCATGTGAGATTTTATGTGTGCCCTTTAAGATGAATTCTCTATTTCCCCTGGCTCTCTGGGAGTCCTGAAAGTAAACCTCACTGACCTTCGAAGCTAAGTACTCTGGGGGCTTATCTTCCTGGTGCAGGACCCCTGGTCTGGGGACTCCAATGTGAGGCTCAGATCTCGTAGTCCTTTGGGAGAAACTTTCCGATATAATTATCCTCCCATTTGTGGGTCTTCTTTCCAAAGATATAGGACTTGACCATATCTCGAATATTACCATTTATCCATTTTGTTGTGGTTCATTGTGCTTAAGTTGTGTAAGAGCTTTTTGTAGGTTCCAGTGGTTATCATCAAATGTTGCTCTGGAAATAGTTGGGATTTTGGTGTGCCTATGAAAAGAGATAAGCTTAGGGTCTTTCAAGATGCCTGACTGCCATCTTGGTCAGTCTCCTCCAGAGAGAATTTTTAAAAGAATATTAACTCCCTTGCAGAATTATAGAGGGCTAGAGCTATACAGCCAGAAATAAGGAATGCCTAAAATCATCATTTTGGGCAGAAGACAGCTGCTGTCCTTGAAACCAAATGCTTACTTCATGGCTGACCCCACTAACACCAGACACTGGTCCCTATCACTGTCAGACTTCCTCACAGTTTCCCCGTCTTTGGTCAGTTGCTCCCAATCCACAGTCCCTTCCAATCTGAGGTGACACATGTCACGCCCACCAGAGTAGAGGAAAGCACCTAACAGGCATTCCAACTATAGTAGGAGGCGAGTGCTGCCCTCTGCCAAGACCCACAAGACAGAGACCTCCCCAAACACAGGAAGGGCATTGAGGCCATGGTCAGCCCAAAAGAACAACAAAACTTCTGCCAGGTTTTAGATCCATGCTGCTTCACCTTTGATGTATTCACCACCTGGGGCTGTTGCTAAAAGCCTAGTCCAATTGAGAGGGAGGGGCTTGGTTGAGCCACACTGGGACCTAAGGCAAAAGGGAAAATGAGTAATACCCCATATTTATTTAAAATTTTGACACTTGTTCATCATGGAATTTCCATTAATCTTCAAAAAAAATATTGCATTAAAATGGCACTGCTCTTGATTACCTTTTTGGTACCCAAGGCAAGTGCCTTGCTCACGTCACCCCATTTGCCCTTGTCTGGCCCCGCAAGCCAGTAGGGCTGGTCTGGGGCCCTAAGCTGTTTCTCACATGCTCTCAGCTTGCACCCATGCTGCTGTTCCACGGCCCATACTTTAAGAGGCTGTAAGATCATTTTGTCTGATACACAGGCCAATTCAAATTCAGGATTCAGATAAACATTTTATTTGTCCCCTACTCATTGAAGTGAAAAAGTGGAAGTGTTAGTCGCTCAATTGTGTCTGACTCTTTGCCACCCCATGGACTGTAGCCCACCAGGCTCTTCTGTCCATGGAATTCTCCAGGCAAGAATACTGGAGTGGGTAGCCATTCCCATCTCCAGGGGATCTTCCCAACTCAGGTATCAAACCCAGGTCTCCTGCATTTCAGGCAAATTCTTTTTTTTACCATCTGAGCCACCAGGGAAGCCCATTTTATTTGTCCCCTACTCATTATTTTTCTCCAAAAATATCTAATTAAAAATTAATAAGGTACCCTATAAAATGCCTTGAAATTTATCTTTCTTAACAAAAGCTATGTAAATATGAGCTCTCTGTAGATGGTCACTGAAATCAGTAAAAACTTCAACTTCAAAAGGAAATTCCATCAGTTCCAAAGATCTTGTGGGTATTTTTTATTGAAAGGTCTTTTTCCTTCAATAATGGACATTTACATTAAAACTTTATACAACCAAAATCTCAAAATAATATTAAAATCACACTAAGGTATTTTCATTGTTAAGTCTACTTCATTTTATTGTTGATAAAAATATTGCAAGACACTTGTAATTCTAATGTTTCTGCTTTAAAATAAGCAATTAAAACTAAACGTCACAAGAAGAGACAATACATACTACAATTTGCTAATAACTGGCTAAAATGATAATTTAATAGTAACATGTATAAGAAACAATTGCACTTGAAAAAAAGTAAACAAAAAACCTCTAGTTTTGTATATTTAAGTCTTATGAACAGAGGTTAATCATCTATAACCTTGCCAGAAGTGTATGTTTGTTTAAATTAAAAAAGAAAAAAAAAAGCTTGTGTATTTAACTAGCAATCATTCATTTCTTCTAAAAGTCTTGAATTCTCATATGCTTTACAGAATTTCCCCCATAGTTTGTTGATCAGAAAAGACTGCAACGCAACTAAAGAAAAATAACACTTCATTGGTATTTAGTGCAAATTTGGAGTAATTTTCACATGAAGTATTAAACATGTAGCCTTTAGAAGCTGTTGGAAGTAAGTGCTATGACGTCTTCTCCTCAGTATGCTCTTCTTTTAAAGATTTTGATGGAAAAATTTTAACTGAGGTATTTCTCCTCCTTTGCATGGGCTCAGTGGTAAGCCAGTACAGACTTATCTACCATTTTTTGTTAATGACCTGATTTCTTCGCCTGTTCTTTGCCATTACTGTGATTATTATTCAAAGCTGACAGCATGAAAGAAAAAGTCAATGCAGAAGAATTAATGTAGCACTATAATTCTAGGGCTCTAAGTGGAAAGATTCATATTAAAAAGTGTTATATTTGTGAGGAAATCATCGAAGCTAACAAATGCCTACATATTTGATTTAGAAATGAACAGTGTGGAAAACGTGCAGTGGAATATTAATTGTGTCTCACAGCCATTAAGAAAATTAACGTCCCATTGATTCTTAACAGTTTGAAGGTCCACTATATATGGTAACTCCAACTTGCAAAAGTACAACTATCCACTTCACCACACATGCCAGGTACTACCATGAGGCTGTCATTGTTTCCAGAAAGAAAATGCCTTGTATATGGTAAATATCTTTGCACTCATCCTTTCTTTAAGGTACATAATAACAGCACACTGTCATTGCATAAAGAAAATGATACTAAGACCAATAAAATGTGTTTTTGTAGGGTGTAATTCTTCCCCTGCTGCACTAAGCAAAGGATTTGTATTTAGATTTTGAAGTCAGAATCGAAGAAAAAGGGAATAAGTCAACATCATGAAATGTAATGTACTAGCAATATGTGGGTTTCATGTAAAGCAAATTTAGGGAAATAAAAGTGAATATTTGTGGCTTTTAAATTGCCAAGCTCCCCCCACACCTTTTAAAAAAATCTTGTGTATAATAACAAGGCCACTTAAAACTCTTGAGATGTTTTAATGCTATTGAACATTTGACTCTAAATATGAATTACTTGGCTATGGTAAAGAAAGAAATTCCCCACAGGAAGTCCTTAGTACAAAAGGCTTCAAATCTTGTCTTACTGTTAACTTTTCCTAGCAACTTCAAAGATTTTCAGAGACATGTGATGTCAGTAGCCTCTTGTACTCCATAATAAATGGCTGGTTTGGAGGTTGTTTTATTACTTTTCTTGTCTCGCTTTTGCTGCTTTGGGTGAAGTTAGCCTCTCCTTCAGAGTTTTAAAAAGTAGGTAGCACTAGAAGCAGTGTATCCTACACTTCTCACCCTTTGTGATATTATCTGAAGAATTTTTACCAGAATATACACAATCTGGCCCCATCCTTACAGAATCTCTGAGTAGGTCTGGGACAGAGTCTGAACTTGTTAAGAACAACTACACTAAATGGGGATTCTCAGAGACAGAGAATTTGTAGGTTTTTTTTTTTAATCATTTATTATTTAAACATTTAAATAAAAATGTTCCCTAGGAGCCAGCTGGGCCAAATGGTTAACATGTCCCTAAGGAGAGTTCTGGTATAACAGGGCCTGTAGGTCAACAACACAGTAGAAGAGTGAATGGACTCCCTATGTTACAGTTTCCGGTCGGGGCAAAAACCTTGAGAAGCAGAGATGGGCACAGAGTTGGAAGCCAGACTTTTCATCTGCTGTTCCCGGTGACTGCATTCAGGAGAATGGAAATCCTTGTCCTTTCACTGTGACTTTAGAAAAGGGTAGAAATCCCCAAGCACAAGGTAAATAAATGGTTTAGAGAAAAGAAATTGGAGGGAAGAATCAAGAAAACTATTAATATTACAAAGGTTGGCAAAAGGACATGTTCTGAATGGTGTGTGGGTGTGTGTGTGGAAGGGCCATGGAATGGGTATGGCAGGCTCTTGTGAGGTCTTAGTCAAGAGATTTTACTTCATGTGGTCCCTTGGACGGAATTTTTTTCTTCAAAACTAGGAGGAGCTCAAGGCACCAGGACCTAGGGTTGTGCAAATACACTCTTTACAAGGAACACCACCAGTTCAGTTTCTAAACATTATTTTAGAGCCTATAAAACATGCTTCTTTTCCCTAGTTTGGTTTTCTTTACCTCATATAAAAAATAAATAAATAAAAAGGGCAAGAGAAGAGCCAATGACTGCAATAAGAATGGGTAAGAGTCACTCTTTACTTAATAATCTGCGGACAGTCGCTCCAGGCCTTGGCTTTCCTTTTGGCCAAAGCCAGCCAGGCTGGCTCTGTTGACACGGGGGCAGCATCTGGGTTGGAGAACCTCTTTGTGACTTCTTTCACCAGTGGCGCTGGGGGAACTGAATCAGAGATCTCCACTAGATTTTGAAGGAAAAGGAGAAAGGAATATAAGTCAGAGCCACATTTTTTTGATTTATCACAAGTATGAGATTAAGAAAGCAAAAACCACTGAAGCACTGAGCATCTCTGGCAAGAAGAAATTAGGGAAAAAACCTATGTGATCCTAACGGCTGCATACAGAATTACAGTGATCACAGTGCAGTCAATTTTAATTTCAGAGAATTTCTAGAAACCCAGTTTTCTCTGTGCAGAGAAGCTATGCCTGCACAATAACAGTAATAATAGGTAAGTTCTGTGATTCTAAGTCATGCAACCAGTCAATCTGATGAAGAAAAAGATTAAACCAGTAGTTCGAAGTTTGAACTTGCTAGCTGGTAAGGTTAAAAGCTACTTCCTCTACCCAAGCATGCCCTGGGTCTCTCCTCCCTCCAAGACCCATGGATCCTGCCTGCTCTTATGACTCAGACTTGTCTAACAAATTCCTTTGTCTCCTATCACTATTTATCAGACCTCAGAGGCTTTGTATGGTGAAGGCTCCCATCTTATCTTTGGGTCATATGTAGTGCCTATGGCAGTGGCCTTACAGGTATGCAGAACTCTGGAAATACTGATTAAAAAGACAAAACTTCAGAAGAAGGCTTGCTTTATTAAGGTGGAGCCAACTCTGAACTACATGTACCCTTTGGTGTCTCTAAGAAATCAGGCAGACAAAGGTTGATCTCGTTGTTGACTTTGGAGCTTTCACCGTTCTGAAAGAATTCTCTCTTGAGCCTTATCAATATGATGTTTAGAATCCTTAATTCCTAGGTATAAGATCAAATGAAGTAAGCCCCTTGGAGGGTTCTTGAGAAAATGTTCCAATGTGGTGTTCAAATATAAAGTGTTTTTCCTCCACACCAAATAGTAAACATAGCTTTCCTCATGAGACCTGTCTACATTTCCAGACCTCAGCTAGCAGGTATTTCTTAAGGCATAAAAGAATCTTGGGTCTAGAGGGCGGGTGTCCTCTGAGGAACAGGGTTGCCTACTGCGGAAAACAGGGACCCTAACAGCCCCCGAGAGGAAGCTCTTTCAAACTCTCCATCCTCCAGGTGACTTGCAATAAGGAAACGGTCATAAACATTATTGGATCATTTTACCTTGTAACATGATAAAGATTTTCTTTTTAACTTGCCCGTGTCTCTTACATGTCATGAATTTGTATAAACACTACTGTTGTTCATTAACATCAGGGACTTAGAGCAGAACCGCTGTGCTCTCTATGTCACAGCTGGGTCAGAAGTTAGCTGTCTGAAATCACATCAGTGAGAAGGGGCCAGCCCAATTTTGCCTGGAGCATCTGAGCCACTTGGATCACCCTGATTCAGAGAAGCAGTTTCCATTTCCAGCCAGGGCAGAGCTCCAGGTAGGGGATTTCGCACATAGCTTTCTCACACTGGTCTTAAGCATGTGGAGTCAAACAGGCTCCTGAATCTGCTTTTCAGCGCAGGCTTGATGTCAACTACTTGGCTTTGAGACTATCAAAAAACACTGGCTCTATTTAAATTCTACCTAAAATTCACCCTTTCCCCACATCCTAATATAATCTTGTCTCTTTTGTTTAGACGGTTCTTGTGGTATGCAGTCTTCCTTGCTACAGGAAGTCAAAAAACCTCATTTTGTTGGACCACAGGCAGTGTAGGTGGAGAAGGCTCATATCACCTTGTTAAAGGCTCAGGAACTTAACAAGCCACTTGATATCACATTGAGCTGAGCTGAAGTCGCTCAGTCTTGTCCGACTCTTAGCGACCCCATGGACTGTAGCCTCCCAGGCTCCTCGGTCCATGGGACTTTCCAGGCATGAATACTGGAGTGGGTTGCCATTTCCATCACATTGGTAGTCTGTAATTTGCCATGGGTGGGAGTATTTACACCACAGAAAAGGACAAATACTACAAATCACAGGTATCTCCAATCCCTGAGGACCTGGCTATTAAATGTGTATCATCACCCCACTGATAGTAGGTATGTTTCTGGTGATATTTATCCATGTCAAAGTTTATGAATGGGGTGGTGAGACAGCTTGTGTTCTGAAATGCCTAAAATGCTGTGCTAGTTTTTACACTGGAGGAAATAAAACATGCTTGAAGGGGAAAAACCTTTAAGTACACTTCAGTAGAAATGGACCTGTTCTCTCTACCTGTCACTGATGTAGGAAGAGTGTTGGCCTTTCTGAGCTGTTCTCTGCGCTCAAGCCTGGACACTGGCGTCTCTGGCTTCTTCTCTTCTGGCTGAGCAGCGGGCTTGTGCAGGGAGCCAGGTCTGCCGACGCTGCTGCTTCCAGGCTGCGGGGTGACGCTGACCTGCACGGACAGAAAGTCAGGGGAAGCACGTGTTCATCCGAAAGACAGGGAAGGACCGACCATGCAGGGCAAAGCCGCCTGGAGGTTTCCATCAGCTGGCCCCGTCTTCTGCTTCCAGGGGAGGAGCCCAACTGCAGAGGGAGCGGTGTGTGCTCAACCCTGGCCCCAGCTCGGCGCGCATGTCCCAACGAGGGGCTGCTGCGTGCTCTCCCAGAAGAGTCCCATCACACGGTACAGTCAGGGCCACAGAGCAAGGCTCCTCATGTCCTCTCGACCCACTGCTTAAAATAAAGTTATTTTCACATTTTTCATATAACTGTTGTGTGCGAGGATTCTACCAAATCAGGTTAACCTAAGAGCATAAGGAAACCAAATCAACTTTCTAACTGAAAATACCTCTTTGGCTTAACAGTGGTCAACTGATTTACTGCTCTACTATCTATTTTCCACCATTCCTGGCCAGCCTTTTCTCGTTACTGTTGTTTTAAATCCTATGAACTAAAAGAAAGCCAAGATTGGGAGTTCCCGGCTCTCCAGGGGTTAGGACTTGGCACTTTCACTGCCAGGGCCTGGGTTCAATCCCTGGTCAGGGAACTAAGAGCCCGTGAGCCTTGTGGTGCTAAAAAATAAAAGAGCAAGCCGAGCTCAGAGTTAAAGCCGAAGACCAGGCTACTTACGTGCTCTCTGGAGAGCTTCTCTGCCTGTTTGGCCTCCCTGGCCTGCTTCCTCTCTTCCCGAGTTGCCTGCTGCTCCCGAAACCCCTTCTGTTTCTGCAGCGCCAGCGTGACCCACAGTGGCTGCGCGGTCTCAGCCTTCTCCACAAGCTTGGAGCCATCTAAGGAATGTCTGCTCTGAAGCATCGGCTTTTCTATGGGAAGAAAAGACTGATTGTGATATACTGTAAGAAATACATATTTGATCTCTGTCCCTGTTTCTGGCACTGAATTCCTAAAACCCTTGCAATTTTCTAACTGATGAGAGCATAAAGGTCTCTTTTGTTTGGCTAAATGAGGTGATTCCTGGGACGCATGTAAAGATGGAGTCTGGTTGGCAGTATCCATGTGATCAGAGGGTTAGAACTTTGAGTCCCACCCTCAAGCTCTGGGGAGGGGCAAGGGGCTGGAGGCTGAGTTCAGTCATCAATGGCTGATGACTTAATTGATCACAACTATGTAATGAAGCGTCCATAAAAACCCAAAAGAACTAGTCTGGAGAGCTTCTAAGCTGAGAACACATACAGATGCTGGAGAGTGACTAGCTTGGCAATTATGGACGCTCTATGCCCATTTCCCATACCTTGCCCTCTTCATCTCTTCCATCTGAGTTATATTCTTTACATAAACCTTTGTGTGTGTGTGTCTGTGTGTGTGTGTACACACAGGCTTCCGTGATGGCTCAGTGGGTGAAGAATCTGCCCACCAGTGCAGGAGACACGCAAGATGCAGGTTCAATCCCTGGGTCAGGAAAATCTGAAGAAGGAAATGGCAACCCACTCCAGTCTTTTTGCTTGAAAAATCCCATGGACAGCGGAGCCTGGTGGGCTACCATCCAAAGGGTGGCAGAGAATCAGAAATGACTAAGCACAGCACACATATAAACTTTAAACTGATAACCTAGTAAGTAAAATATTTCCCTGAGTTATGTGAGATCCTCTAGCAAACTAACCAAACAGTGTGAACTTGCAGCTGGCACCTAGTGTGGGGGCAGTCTGGTGGGACTGAGCCCATAACCTGTGGACTCGAATGATGTCTCCAGGAGGGAATCAGAACCGAGCTGAACTGACACCAGCTGGTGTCAGAGAATTGCTTGGCCATGTGGGACCCCACACCCCACCACCCCGCAACAGAAATCAGTCAAGACAAATAGCAGCTTTGCACCGAAACTAACCGCTCACTCGCCTCGGCCCCTCACCCCCTAAACCTGTGACACATTCATCAGCCCAAGCAGCCGTCAGCCATCCCCTTCTGGCGCACAGCGTGCGAACGCCCGAGTGACTAGCCTGGGTGGGAAAGCAGCATCTTCAAGGGGAAAAACAGGAGCATTTCTCTCTCCTCAAAATGGAACAAAATGTCTCCACTGTCAAAACACACCTGGCCTCCAGAGGACCCAGCTAGTCAGCTGACTGTTCTTTTTTTTACTGCTTTTTAAAATTTATTTTTTCAAAAAAAAAAAAAATTATTTTTTCAGTGGAACCTCCTCCTCCCCCCGCCCCAACCCCACACTGTGCCCTGACGAAACACGCCGACCCAACAAGAGGAAAAGGGGGCACTGCGCTGCTTAGAGGGGCTGCCAAGAGCACCAGGACTCCGAGGAAGACAGTGGGGAACGGCGGTTTGGGCCCGCTGCCCTCACGTGATAGATGTGAGTACGTGGGTCCAAAGCCGTCACGGGCAGTGACCACGGTCACTGAGCCACAGCTGAAGCCTGAGCCGAGGACTTCTGACTCCCAGTCTGCGCTCTCACCACGGTGGACCGTGCAAGCCGGGCCAACAAGCTTCCTAGGTGGAGAGCATCGGAGGTTGAGTAACTGGGCTCTGGAATTGAGCAGACCCGAGTTTGACTTTATGTGACCCCAGAAAAGCTACTCAACCTCTCCAAGCTTTCATTTTCTGATCCATAAACTCGAGTCAAGAATGGCACCGGCTTCATCAGGCTGATGTGAAGATTAAGAGGGGTCCTGGGCGTGAAAACGTTGAGAGCAGTGTTCGGCATACAGTAACTGCTCTACGAAAGGAAGTGTTCTTGGGCACTCTCTGGTGGTCCAGGGGTTGGGGATCTGCACTTGCATTGCAGAGCGCATGGGCTTGGTCCCTGTCCGGGGACCCTCACCCTGGGGAGCTAGCAGACTGAGCCACAGACTGGGCATCCCGGGCCGAATGTCTTTTGTGGAGGAGACAAGGCCCCTTGGCTGCCGGGAGGACCTCTGGGACAGACAGAGGGCTGCAGAAGCAGAGACCTACCCATGAGGATGGTGCATGCATGGGCCTGTCAACCAGCAAAGTGGAGAGAGTGCCAGCCTGCTGCGCTCCCCAGTCTGAGCTGGGTGAGCTCCTCGGCCTCACTCCACACTGCAGTTCGGCGTGTGAGCTGGGCCAACTGTCCCCTGGGAAAAAGACTTAGTCCAGCTACTCAGAGACAGACTGGGGGCCCTGGGATGTGATCTGAATGGGGTGGTGGCCACTGTCAGCATGTGCTTGGGTGGCCCCCCAGAAGCCTGCCCCAGTCTTGCCTCCCAGCCTAGCAAGAATGCCCCACCCACTCCTCACCCCAGTTCAGTGCTGGTTCTGGAGGAGACCATCCTGGGAGAAAAGTGCCACAGAGGAAGCCAGATTTCTGGTGGCAGCATGACCATCTCAATTCCTGCAGCCACAGTCTCTCCCCTCCACAGCCATACACTAGATCTAGGATGAACACAACGAGAAAGGGACAGAACCCTGGGCTGAATATGAGCAGAGCACCTACATAGATGTGTAGGTCCTCTGTGAATGCACGGGCTTCGCGTGTTTCGGCAATCCCCCCCTTTGGAGCAGGGCATGCACTCAAGGAGAACAGAGCCTGACTTGGCCTGACCCACAAGGCTACTCTAAGACTGGGGAGCAGACCTCCCTGCTGAAAGTGTGGCAAGAGCCACAGAGCAGCGGGGAAGTCCCATCTCACATCCCGCGTGGGCTCTAGATCGCCCAGCACACACCCCCCCTCAAGGTGATGCTGGCCAGCACAACCTCAGGAAAATGTGGCTGGCATCCATATATAGCCAGCCCTCATACCAAAGACACTGGACACACATAATCCATACAGGGATGCACCCATGTAAAAATACTCCAAGACCACAACAGATAATGTTTCTCCTAAACTCATAAAGTAAAATGAAAAGGCAGAGGAACTACTCCCAATTAAAAAAGCAAGAGAAATTCCCTGAAATAATGAAACAGAGCTCACCAGTCTACCCAACCCTGTTCAAAACAGTGGTAGTAAAAATGCTAACTGGATTAATAAAGATTACTAATAGAAATTCAGGTCACTGTAACAAGGAAATAGAAACTGTAAAGATGAACCAATCAAAAATAGATAACTCAATTGCCAAGATTAAAAAAAAGAAAGCAATCAAAGAGCAATGTGAAGTGAAGTCACTCAGTCGTGTCCGACTCTTTGTGACCCCATGGACCGTAGCCCACCAGGTTCTCCATCAGCTAAAAGACAACAAGTAACCTGGAATACAGAATAATGAAAACCACCCAATCAGAACACAAGACAAAAACAAATTAAAAAGCAAATGAAAACATACAAGATATATGGTATATATAAAACTTGCAAGCCTGTGTATAATAGGGGTTCTAAGAAGGAGAAAAGAGAAAGAAGATTGAAAATGTATTTGAAAAAATGGTGGCTGAAAACTTCCCAAAGCTAAAGACGCAAACAGGAATCCAGGTACAAGAAGTTTGGAGGGTCCCAAACAAAATGAATCCAAACAGAACCACAGCAAGACATATCATAATTAAAATGGCAAAAGTTAAAGAGAATTCTAAAGGCAACAAGAGAAAAACAGTCATTTACAAGGGAATTCCAGTAAGGCCATCAGCTGATTTCTGTGCAGAAACTTTGGAGGCCAGAAGGGAGTGGAGTGATATATTTAAAGTCTTAAAAGGTAAAAACTTGGAACTGAGAATACTCTACCCAATAAAGTGATCATTTAGAATAGGAGAGAGAAAGAATTTCTCAAACAAGCAAAAACTAAAAAGAATTCGGCAATAATAAACTTACTCTAACAGAAATACTGAAGTTTCTCCTCTAAATAGAAAAGAAGAATTTCTAGGAAAGGGAAAATCATGATAGGAAAGGCAAACCCTACAGTAAGAACTGCAGATCACCTAAATAATCCAGTGTGTGCTCAGTCGTGTCCGACTCTTTATGACCCCATGGAGCCCACCAGGCTCCTCTGTCCATGGGATTTCCCAGGCAAGAATACTGGAGCAGGTTGCCATTTCCTCCCCCAGCGATCTTCTGACCCAGAGATCAAACCCGAGTCTCTTGTATCTCCTTCACTGCAAGTGGATTCTTTACCACTGAGGCATCAGGGAAGCCCCCCAAATAATCCAGTACTTAGATCAAAAAACAAACAAGAGAGTGTAAAAGCAATTATAACTATAATAAATAGTAAAAGGATAAGCATGAAATGTAAAATAGGACAGCAAAATCACAAAACATGAGGGAGGAGAGTATAAAACTAGATCTTTTAAAATGTATTTGAACTTGAATGACTATCAGTTTAAAGCAAGCAGATATAGTCATGGGTCCACATACATGAACTCCATCATAACCACAAATCAAAAACATATAATAGATTCACAAAAACCAAAAATAAAGACTGAAGCATGTTACAAAAGAAAATCATCAAACCACAAAAGGAAAAACAAAAAGAAATGAACAAAGAACTATAAAAATTACTGGAAAACAAGGATTAAAATGGTAATAAGTATATACTTATCAATAATTACTTTATGTTAAATGTCAAAGGACTAATGCTTTCATTACAGGGAGCACGGGTTTGATCCCTTGTCAGGGAACTAAGACCCTGTATGACATGCAGCATGGCCAAAAAAATAGGGGAAAAAAGGACAATCCAATTAAAAAATGGACCTGAGAACTTTCTTGATGGTCCAGTAGTTGAGAATCCACCTGCTAATGCAAAGGACGTGGGTTTGATCCCCGGTCTGGGAAAATCCTCCATGCTGCGCAGCAAGTAAGTCCACGCACCACAACCACCGAGTCCGAGCTCTAGAACCCCCGAGCCGGGACCGCTGAAGCCCACAACCTGCAGCCCAGGCTGTGCAGCAAAAGCAGCCGCAGCAGTGAGCAGCCTGCGAACAGCGATGAGAAGCAGGCCCTGCTCACCACCACTAGAGAAAGCCCACATGCAGCAACAAAGACCCAGCGTGGCCGCAAGTAAATGTTTTCTAAAAAACCGACCTACATAGATATTTTCCCAAAGAAGATACACAAATCGCTAACAGGCACATGAAAAGATGCTCAACATTACTAATTATTAGTGAAATGCAAATCAAAACCACAAGGAGACACCACCTCACACAGGTCAGAATGGTTGTCATCAAAAAGTCTATAGATAATAAATCCCGGAGATGACACGGAAAAAGAGGAAGCCTCCTACACTATTGGTGGAAATGTAAATTGGTGTAATCACCGTGGAGAACTTTATAAAGAACCACTATGGAGGCTCTTTAAAAAACTAAAAATAGAACTACCACATGATCCAGCAATTCTACTCCTGGGTATATATGTGGAAAAAATAAAAACTAATTTAAAAAGATACAGGCACCTCAGTGTTCATAGCAGCATTATTTATAATAGTCCAGACGTGGGAGCAGCCAAAGTGTCTGTCAACAGATAACTGACTTAGGAAGATGTGGAGTGTGTATATATTGTATGTTTATATATGGGCTCACACAATACACACACACACACACGTATACACAGGCTTCCCAGGTGGCGCTAGTGGTAAAGAACCCACCTGCCAATCAGGAGATGTGAGAGATGCTGGTTCTATCCCTGTGTCAGGAAGCTCCCCTGGAGGAGGGCATGGCAACCCACTCCAGCATCCTTGCCTGGAGAACCCCTTGGACAGAGAAGCCTGGCAGGTTACAGTCCATAGGGTTGCGAAGAGTCGGACACAACTGAAGCGACCCAGCACGCATATGTATACACACATATATATACATACACCACATCTTCTTGGTTTCCTGGACAGGCATGTTGATCAGCAGTGTAAAGACCATATCTCCCTATTGGCTTCTGTTTGTCCTATGGAAGAGGAGCCACAGCCATAAGAACAAATGAAATGTTGCCTTTTGCAGTAACATGGATGGACCTACAGAATATTATGCTTAGTGAAAAAAGTCAGAAAGACAAATACTATACGATATGTATAATCTAAAAAAAAAATAACGCAATGACTATACAAAAAAGAGACAGATTCACAGACACAGAAAACAAATTTATGGTTCCCAAATGGGAGAGGGAGGGGGGAGGGATAAATCAGAAGTAAAGGACTAACAGATACAAACTTCTATACAGAAAATATGCAAGCGACAGGATCTACTGAACAGCACAGGGAAGTGTACCCAATATCCCGGAATAACCTATAATGGAATAGAATCTGCAAGCAAAATACACAAAAAATGAATCACTATGCTATACACCTTAAAATGGCACCATATTGTATACCAAGTACAGTTCAATTTTTTTTTTAATGGAAAATACAGACAGACTCAAGGGAAGCTGGGAGCCCTGTGATGTGATGCAGGGAGAGACCTTGCACTCGAGTCCTCACTCGCTTTGCTCATTTGTACTGAGGCTCTGCAGTTCAGTGAGCTTATGACGTATCATATCTTCTTTGAGCCAAATGATCTCTTATGAAATGGACAGGTGGTATAATGAAATTCCAGCAAACAAACACAGATTAAACATACTACTGATAATGCAAGCATAAGAACACAGCAAAGCTGTCATGTTCTTTGCCTGAGACTCCGTGAAGAAATCAGATCTGACAAGAAGTTGATCCAATAAAATAAAAATCTGCACCATGATTTGCAATGTGGATTTACATCCACTATTGTTTCAGTTAATCTCACCCTCAGTACATGTGGTGCTCCATGGGTTTTAGCTAAGGATGGTACTATATATATACAATTAACAAATAAATTGGAGGTCCAGGCTTAACACTTTTATACTGATAGGTGTTCAGCTAAAGAATTTGGTCTGCCCAGGCCTGGAGTTGTAGTGTAAAATCCCAACAGGCTCAGGTAGAGACCACCATGAGGTCCTTGCTCTCATACTTCTTTTCTACCAAATAAAGAAAAATTCAATTAGCAAAGACTGTCAGCACAGAATCTCAATACTGAGAAAGAAAACAGGGGCAGCAACAGGTTTTGGTAAAAATTAGAAGAATCTAAGAGAGAGCAGCAGAAAACAGAGCGTTGTTTCTCTGGGAGAAGATAAGAGAATAAGAGAGCGGGTCAGTGGTGAGAGAAGCTCTGATGATACCACAAAAGGGAACAACATAAAAGCTAAAGTCAAAACTGAAAACAGTGGTTCTGCTTCAAGACGGTGACGTAGGAAGATCCTGAACTCCATTCCTCCCACAGACAACCACGTTTATAGTCACATACAGAACAAGTCCTTCTGAAAAGAGATCCAGAAACTAACTGACTGACTCCAGCACATCAGGGGAACAGGAACAAAAACCAATCATAGAAATGGGTCGGAGAGGTGGAGACAATCTCACCATAAACCCCATCCCCGGGTACAGTGATCCACAACCAGGAGGGAGCTCAGCAGAACACCCACTCTGTCTCTCTGAGAAGCAAAGGATTTGGACCCCCACTTCTGGACGTCAACTTTTAAGGCTTCAGTCTCAGTGACTGGCCCTCGAAACACCTAGTTCTGAAAGCCAATGGGGCTTATGTCCACAAGATCCACAAGACCATAGGGAACCGAAGGCACAGCTCTTAACAGGCTTGTGGGGACTTACTGTAGCTAACCCCGAGAGCCCAGTGCAGAGGTAAGACAACAAAAAAACCCGTGAAAATGGGCTCCTCTTCGGCAGGACAAACAGAAACCAACAGGGAGATATGATCTGGTGATTAATGTGCCAGTCCAGGGAGCCAAGGAAAGCTTGGTTAAAAAGGACGATGGGGTCTTCCGTAAGGCAAGTAACCAAAGCAATGTCCCTGAGGGAGTTTTTTTCTCTGCAAAACCCACTCCAAATCTAAACAATTACCTAAACCTTTCCTAGAAAAACCTGAGGAGCAAATTTTGGGCTATGACCCACACCTGACACTCTACAAAACCAAAAAGAAAAATCAGATGAAGGTTCTTGGGACCCCAAAGTCAAACCAAGTGATCACCACACTGCCCCAAACATCCAGCATGAAGAAACACGAGGGGCAGCCAGGAGTAAGGGTTGCCCTAAAATTTCCTTACCAGAGGGCTTCACAGTAGCAAGCTGGTGGGGCTGGGGTGCATATGCAGGGCCTTGTGCATAAACAAAGTCGATTATGCACACTGCGGCTCCTTGGGGGGCTAGTTTAAAGTTCCCTAAGGTCCCACCTCCTTAGTTTCTGCCGCTACTGCCCAGAAACAGAGCACACACACTTGGGTAGGAATCAGCCTTTATCGTCATGTACAGGCCTCTCATAAAGATTAATGACACCTGCTTCCTAGTGGCTCAGACAGTAAAGAATCTGCCTGTAATGCAGAGACCCAGGTTGGATCCCTGGGTTGGGAAGACCCCCTGGAGAAGTGTATGGCTACCAACTCCAGTATTCTTGCCTGGAGAATCCCATAGACAGAGGAGCCTGGTGGGCTACAGTCCATGGGGTCACACAGAGTTGGACAGTTCTAAGCGACTAACACTTTCACTGTCAACCTAAAGTGTATCCGTCTGTGCAGCACCTAACTACCTGTGTAAGGAAGGATCACTAATGGGTGTGAGCTGCAGACACACAGGTCAGTCCACATTTCCAAAACTGTAAAGACAAGTGCAGAGCCCCACTCTGACTCAGGAGTCGCGGCCCTTGGGGAACAGGGCACCAGCCTCTAATTAAGGGAAGTGCTCCAACAACAGCTCCAGGGGCTACCTCCGGCCCTGGGCAGTCCTGCCTTTAGCTGCGACTCAGCGATCTACCGCTACGCACCTTTCCTCCCCGCCTCGGGCGTTGGGGCAGGCTTCTCTTGCCCAGCGGATGGAGCCGGGGAAGCCGGTTTCCTCTCGGTTTCCACCTGTTCCTCCTTCTCCCGCTTCTGCTCCTTTCTCTCCTCAGGCGGCGGGGGCGAGGGCGGCCAGCCGCTGTCCCGGCCCTCCTTGCACCGCTCGCTGGGCTCCGGCTCGGGCTTCCCCACCCGGCGAGTCAGCAACTCCACCAAGTAGGGCCTGCTCACCTTGGAGAGCGGGGAGGATGGTGGGGTCTGGCCCGCGGGCTTGGGGGCCAGGGATGGCTTCTGGGCTGGGGGCAACCTGTTGGCTGCCTTGTCCTGCTCCGGAGCTGGGGGCTGGCTGCCGGCCAGGGGGGGCCCGGGCTGGGCCGCAGGAGGAGAGAGGCTGGGAGGGCTTTCAGAGGAGTCCTTCCAGGGGGCCGGCGTTGGCTTCCTCTCGGCGGGGAGCAAGGGGCCAGGCCTGGGGGCTTCGGCCTCCGTCTCCCGCTCTCCGTGTGCGCTCCCCGGGGCCGCCGGCGCCCCGTCGGCACCGTCCTCTGCGCTGCTGTGCCTTTTCTTCTTTTTCTGTTCTGCTTGTTGGTCGCAGTGGAAGCGCAGGGAGTAGTTGGTCCTTCTCAGTTTTATTCCGAAAAGGGACGCTTTATCCTCCCCAGCTGGCATCGCGGGCTCTGGCTTTCCTGCTCCGTCTGCGGCCTGGCCGTCTGAAGTGGTCCCGGGCTCCCCCTGGGCCACTGCCTTCTGTGGCGGGTAAGGGAGGCCCGGAACGAGGAAAGATGGAAGGTCTTTGGCAAATTTGCACCCCTCTGTGGTATCCGTTGGCTCCTGGTGCGCCCTGGGTTTCTCTGCAGCTTTCAGGGCCTCTTTAGTATCAGCAGCAGCGGGCTGGGCCACAGGCTCTTCGCTGGGCCCCGGCGCGCATCTCTTCCTGACGCTCTCCCCTTCCGCGCTGGGTCTGGAGCCCTCCCCGCCCCCATCGGAGAACTTCTGCCAGGCAGGCTTAATGGAGAACTTGGCATTTACGGGCGGGGTCCTCCGGAGGTTTCCGCGGGAATCACACCGGCCCCTGGGCGTGAGCTCATCCCTGGCCTGAGCCTGCTCTCTCTCGCCCCGCTGGTCACTCTCTGAGCTCTTCAGGATTCGGGAGCGAATGGAAGCCCATTCAGCGAGCGCGGCCGCGCTGCTCGGAGACTCCGGTGGGGGCCTGGTCTTCGCACTGCCTGCCCGGGGTTCCCCTGGGGCTCGGGCTGCGTTCTCCAGGGCCGGGACATCCACCGGCTTCTTTTCTTCCGACAAGCCCAGGAGAGACTTGCACGCAGTGTCCTTGATCTGGCTCAGGTTGACGGCCGGGCCGCAGAGCTGGGCTCCGGTGACCAGGATGGCCGTGTGGGGGATGCTCAGGGTCGAGGGCAGGGCGTGGGAGGCCGGGCTGGCTTTGGGGGCCTTGGGCTCTTGGGGAGCTGAGGTGAGCCCCTCGTCTTTCATGGGCTTCACCGGGCTCAGATTGACTTTGGGAAAGAGAATTTGTTTCCCTCCCGAGGACACCTGGAAAGTGTAGGGCCTGGGCATGGTCTGCCGCTCATCCACCTCCTGCCATCTGAGTTCCTCCACTTTTCTGTCTGTCTCTGGAGCGGCAGCTTCCTTCTCTCCTGGCGCCAGCATCTCTTCCCCTGGGGCCTCTGGCTTCTGGGGAGGCTGCATGTTGATTACTTCCCTCATTTCCTGCCGTCCACAACCGCGACCCCCAGGAACATCCCCCTGCTTTCCCGGCTGCTCCCCCGATGCCTCCGTGGCCTCTTGGCTCTGCTTCACCCAGATACTCGGCTTCTCGGAGTTTTCTCTCGGCTTCTCGAGTTTCGGGTGTTCTTGCTCTTCTGCTTTCTCCGCTAAGTCGCTCTGAAATGGGCTCCTCAAGCCGCTTTTGTAGTCCAGCTGCGGCTGATTCTCCTCTTCCACCCTCGGTGCTTCCTGAAGCTTCTTCTCCACTTCCTGCCTCCTCTTGGCCTCCAAGTCTTCTCGCTTCTTCAGTTCTTCCCTCTTCCTCACCTCCTCCTCCTCCCGCCATCTCTGGGCCTCCAGTTCCTCCTGCATCCTGAGCGCCTCCATCCGTTTTTCCTCCTCCAGATCCCTCTGCCTTTCTTCCTCTTCCAGCCTCTGCCTCTCGGCTGCCCACTGCCCCTGCTCCTCCAGTCTTCGGAGTTCCTCCAACTCTCTTTCCTCCTCCTCCTGCCGCAGCTTCTTGGCCTCCTGCCAGCTCCGAGCCTCCCCCTCCTCCTGCACCAAGCATCTCCCCAGGTGCTGCGCCTCTTCCTCCAGGCACACAGGCTCCTCGGCCTCCGGGAGTCCTCCTTCCTCCTCCTCCCTCTGCTCTGGGTCCTGGGAGCCCGGCTCTTCCAGGCTCCGCGTCTCTTCTTCGCGCTGCCTCTTCTCTGCCTCTAGCTGTATTTCTCTTTCTTCCCCCTCCTCCTCCTCCTCCTCCTCCTCCACCAAGAGTTCCTGCCTTCTGTTCTCCTCCCAAAGCCTCCGCTCCAGAGCCTGAAGCCTCTGCTCTTCCAGGCGTCGCCTCTCCGCAGTTTCGGCCTTTTGCCGTTTGCACTTGGCCTCGAGTTCTCGCCAGTATTCTTCCTGGCGTCGCTTCTCTTCCTCTGAGTCCAGCGGCTCTGGCTCCCTTTCATGCCAGATTGGCTTGTCTTCTCCAGGGTGTCCGTTCTGGTCCAGGGACGGCTGATGCGGGAGGCCACCGTGCTCGTTCTGTCGATCCTAACATGGGTAAGGGAGACAGAATTAGCTTTCCCTCTGCAAAGGCCACCTTTATTTATAATCCCATGCACCGATGTGGGTGGCCCTCCCAGTTGTGAAAGGGACCACGTTCCCACCACAGACGCAGGTCACCTCAGGCAGGGAAGAGCTTCAACCGTTGGGTTTCCTCGCTCTATGTCATCCTCAAATTCTTTTTTTTAATACACATGTGTAATCATAGGAAAACCAGTAGCCCAGCATTAGAAAGGTGAGGAAAAATAAGATTAGCACTTCATCAATGTCCCCTGAAACTTATGACTCAGAAGTCTAATCAAACTGAAGAACCTTTGACTCAGCCCGTGGCACAGTAAAGTGAGCCATCTGTCTGCTGCAAAGCAAAATGTCTGCAGCCCCTCGGAAGGAAGCCTGTCTCTCTGAGGTCCACCAGCCACTGATGGGGAGCAACAGGTCAGAAAGGGTGGTGGAAAGGAAATGGGCCCATTCACCCTTGTGCCGGCAACAGAGCCATATCCCCAACAGGGGGAGACCAAGTCCCTCCCATAGGCCCCTCTCAGCACCACCGTGCTAGGCAGCACCAGGATGTCTGCCAGGCCAGACATACCCCAACAAGTCGCCTGTGCTTCCTGGACACCCTCTGGTTTTTTGGCTTAATGGACAGTTTGTGCTTGGCGGCACTGTTATCCAGTCGAGCGATGGCCAGGGGGATGGCATCCAGGTTGACACTTTCGATGGTACCGGCAGAAGAAAGGTGCCTCTTGGGCCGGGATGGTTTAGCCGGAGCAACCTACAGTGGAGATTGAAAATATGAAATCAGTCCAGCTGAAAGAAGAGCCTGCAGAGAATCCAGCATGGCGGCCCTTGTCAGAGTCTGCTCCTGGCCCAGCCTGGCCCAGGAGATGCTGCCAGGCGCAGGGGCTCATGGGCACAGTGAAGTGAGCACTGCGTTTAGAATCAAAAGACACTTAGCATGTGTTTCGCCAGTGATACCCGTATTAACTGGTAAAGGCCATTTAATCTCTCAGGGACTAATTTTCCTGCTGTGAGTGACATGTGGGTTAGATTAGATCGGGGGTCAGTAAGACAGAGGCAGGGGTCCTGTCTGGGTAAAGTCTTGCTGGTACATGGCAACACCATTGCCCGTGGCTGCTTTTGTACTACAAAGGAAGAGCAGAACAAAGGAGAGTCTGGTAGTGGCAACCTTACGGCCATGAGGCCTAAAATAAGCAGTAGTTTGCTAAGCCCTGGACAAGCTCATCTCTATGCTAAGAACACTGTAACTCTAAGCGCCTTCCATCGCCACAGACGTGTACACACCTCAGCTCTTTAGCCCCTTCGGAACAGGGAACGTATCTTTGTTTTCACCTTTGTATCAGTCCTCTTTATGCCCAAGTAGCAAATCTCACTTGTTAAGTGGTCAATAAATATTTATTGACAGAAGGAACAATAATTTCTCCACCTAGGGCATAAGATTTGTTATTGGCAAAAATGCTTTAGCACAATCGCGCCAGAGTCACAGAGCACTGATGCATTGAAAGCGAAAAGGAGGAGGCCCCAGGTGAAGGGCAGTTCTTCAAAGGATGAACTGCAGAACCGCTTGCAGCTCTGTAACACGGGTATGGTCACTTAACAACCACAACCTGAGACCAATTGTAAACATTTAAGCAGGTCAGAGAGACCCAGGCTCAGAGGCCAGGCTGAGTCGAAACCAGGCCGGTAACTTCAGAGAATTCACAGGCAGGCAGGGAGGCCAGGGCTCCGGCCACACCAGGCAGCAGGGGGCGCGCACGGCCCCACGTTTCTCCTCCGCAGCATCCGAGGAGGCCAGGGATCCCCCGTGTGGCTGTGTGCTGCGGCAAAGTCGGTGGGTTTAGCCAATGGCTTTGCTTTTTGCAATTACCCTCCATATTTATGCACAAAGATAAAAGATACAGCTAGCTCCAAGAGCAAAGTAAATGCTCGGTAAATAATAATTTATGACAAGAAGCATGGAAGTAAGGAAAAATAATTCCAGTCATTGGTCTCATAAGACTTTATTTATTTATGGTTATCTTTATGATAGGCGTCAAATTCTAAACCTGTGTTGAAGAGACAGGAATTAAACATTTATTTCCATCCCCTAATGAATGCATGAGTAAAGGCAGTTAGAGCAAAATGTGATAGACGGAAGACAAAGATGAAGCATCTGAAGCTGAGATTTAAATGCAGTGTTTCAAGTCTAGTTATTCAGGCTGGGCCTCTGCATCTGGGTGGGGGGACTGTCTTGAGCCACCCCCTGACCTGGGGACACTCCCCTGTTGATCACATGATTGCCACAGGGCTCCTTAGGCTTCTGTAGGCAATGTCGCAGGAATGCAGAGAAGTTAAAAACCAGAAATACACATAAATGAAGAAATGCTATCATCTTTTCTGGGCACCTTTAAATAGAAGAGGGGCTTCCCAAGTGGCTCAATGGTAAAGAATCGCCTGCCACTGCAGGAGACGTGGATTCCATCCCCTAGAGGAGGAAATGGCAACCCACTCCAGCATTCTTCCCTAGGAAATCTCACGGACAGAGGAGCCTGGCGGACTACAGCCCATGGGCTCGCAAGAGTTGGACATGACTTAGCAACTAAACAACAATAGCAGGATACTCTTTTCCTTACAGACTCTTCACCTTCAGGTATTCTTGAATGTCTTTTTCAATGGCTTACCAGTGTCTTGAAGAATTAATGCACGATGCTCTTAGGAAAACTACCAACACCTGAGACTCCAAACAGATTTGGCGAGAGTGTGGCAGTTTTTCAGAGCAGGGTTCAGGTGCAGCCATCGCATTGCCATGGAAACAGATGCCAACATCTACCACTGGTTGCATTTTGAAGGGATTTAAAGTCATGGATGAAAGCAGCATTTATGAATGGAAAAATGAGGCAGCAGCTCACCCAACAAAAAGAAAAACAGAAGTTAAAGTAAGGAAGTTACACACACAAGTTCAAATCACATTACCTTCTCTTCCATCTCACTTCTGGCTCCGGGCAGATTCAGAGGACTTGGAGAACTGGGCGTCTCACTGGACTGGAATGGCAGAGAGAGTGCTCAAGTCACACAGGAGCACGGGAAGTCCTGGGCAAACACAACCGGCGTCTGTGCGGAGGGCCACCCCCCCTGAGCAGAGAGCGCTGGCAGGTTCATGGTGTCCAGATTCCACCAGGGCTCCGGATGCTCAGTATTCACGCCCCTCTCCCTCGAGTTCAACTCATTTCCCATCTGGGTGGGCTCCAACCTCAGTCCCTGATGTGCTTCCCCACTGCTGAGAGAGTCGGGGACTGCCCTGTCGCCAGCGAGGCAGAACTCTGACCCCACGGCTTTCAGCCTGGCTGGCTGCCTTCCACCCCCTTCACCTCTGCCAGACCTCTTCTCCATGAGAAAGAAAGGGGGTCCTTCCAGGGGCACACACAGGCCTGGGCTGAGGAGGTGGGTGGCCAGAGGAGGCGAGAAAACTTTGGAGGAAGGGAGGGAGGGAGAGAGGAAAAGAGAGAAAGAGGAGGAAAAAGCCTAATGATTCCCATCCCAGTCGCTTTGCAGGTCCTGGGTACACGCATATCATGTCATGTGTGCCAGCTAAACTTTCTGCCTCCTATCACCTATGTTTACAAAAGGGTCTCATTGCCCCTTCCGGAGCCAGAACAGCTTGCCCTACCTCAGTCCATTTTCTGCACCACACTTAGAAGCATCTTTAGAAATATAAATCAGATTGTATCACTGCCCTGCTGAAAATGACCCAGAGGGGAACTTCCCTGGAAGTCCAGTGGTTAAGACTCCACACTTTCAATGCAGGGGCACGTGGGTTCAACCCCTGGTCAGGCAACTAAGGTCCTACAAGCCTCAAGGCACAGTCAAAAGGTAAAATAAGATACTAAGATAAAAATAATAAAAAATAAATTTAAAAATTTCTCAGCAGTTTCCTATCACTTTCCAAACAACTCACCCATTCTCTCGTGGTCTAAATGACCCAGCATCTATCCTGTGATCCACAGCCACCCTTCACCCTCAGGCACATGGACCTGATTTCTGTGCCTCCTGCAGGACAAACAGTTCCATCTCTGGGTGTCTGTACTTGTTCTTCCCTGTTCCAAGAGCACCCTCCACCTCTACCAGGCCTGATCAGGGCCATCTGACCCCCTTATCTAAAGAAGCAAACCCCTCTCCAACCACATTGCTCACTTTTGTATAACCGTTTCATTTTCTAGGCAGCATTTTTATTAGTCCGAAATTACGGTATCTATTTGTTGAGTTGTTTGTTGTGTGACGCTCCTCTCATCAGAATATAAACTGCACTAAGGCAGTCCTGTGTTTACACTGTGATCCCTCAGCTGGGGGAGCACCTACTGAACAAATGACCCACCCTGTCCCCCAGACCACTGTGCCCTGTGCTTATCAGATCTTCAGTGACAGGGAAGATCTGGTCCATAGGAATCCCTCAATCAAGGCTGATGGCTGATGTTGCGGGCCAGCCCTCAAGAGACTGGAGATGAGGATTGTTGGACCAGCTAAGAGAGAGGGGCCCTGTGCCTGCTTCACCTACCACCCACAGGTGTGGGCGCCGGAGTCATCGGGGCCGGGCCCAGGCAGAGACAGACAACAAAGGAGATTGTCATCTTTCATCCCTTTCCTTCTTTTGTGCTACAACTTGCAGAGCACTTATCTTTCTTACTATTATTATAATGCATTAGCTGATAACTAGTATGACTTCTTCCAGGGGCATTTTAGTAACCCCCAACATCATTTGAGGCACCGTGGTAGGCACAGCACAGAGAATGCTTTCTTGTAAGCATGGGAAGACTCGGAGCCTCAGCTAAGAGCTGTCTATCTCCCTACCGGTAGGACTGTTTCTCCTTTTCCCATAAGAGGCCCAAAGGCACCCACGTTGCTGCTAAAGGGACTCTTATTTCAGGATCTGCTCAGAGTGTTTCTTTCAAAGTGTCCAAAGAATAGACTTCTCTGGGGGTACAGCGCATAGGAATCTGCCCACCCATACAGGGGACATGGGTTTGATCCCTGCTCTGGGAAGATCCCACATGCTGTGGGCTAAGCCCGCACACCGAAACTACTCAGTCCGAGCCTTAGAGCCCACGATCCACAGCTCCTGAGCCTGCGTGCTGCAACTACGGAAGGCTGCGTGCCTACAGCCCGAGCTACACAACGGGAGAAGCCGCCAGAGTGAGCGGCCCTCGCACTGCAACCAAGGGTAGCCCACACTCCCACGGCTAGAGAAAGCCCCGGCACGGCGACAAAGACCCAGCACAACCATAACTGAATTAAAAAAAAATAAGAAGAGGCAAAACTTAGACAGGATAGTGCTGGGTCAACGTGACTTTCCATACCAAGTAAACTTCAAGCTGGCCTGTTTGATATATTCTATGCCTGTGCAGCACCTACTTCATTCTTTCCTCATTTCAAGTCAGTCCAGTTCCACAAGTAATTATTCAGTGCTCCTAAGTAAGCAGTGATGGTATCCTGGGGAGACAGATGTATAAGATCCAGCCTGTCCTCAAGGAGCCCAACAGTTTGGAGACGGAGAGAAGACAGTTATACGGCCACAGGTGCGGAGTGAAGACATGTGAGAAACACTCAGGATGCACAGTGACGGCAGGGAGGACAGTGCAGCTCGGGGGCGAGGGCAGCCCGAGTCTCCGAGAGTAAGTGGAAGACCCTGGGAAGACGGGGTGCAAAGGGCACGTCTCCCTTGCCTACCCCTCTTCCAAGCTGGCCCCCCTGCAGCTCAAGGCACTTGTGCCGGAGGTGCTGGGCGACTCCCCACCCTGCAGACCCCGGGGCTGCTGACGCCCCTGCCCACTACCCAGCCTCCATCTGGGCTTGTGAGCAATCAAGTCATTCCCCGGAGGAGCTTTACTTTGTTCTCGGTGTCTGAGAGGATGAGGTCTTGCTGAGTCACGACTTCCACAGGACCAGTGAGGAACAGGTCCTCTTCGAAGCGAGCCTCGCCACTGTCCGCCTTCTTCATGGGAATGGCGTCGGGTGGCGGCTGCCCAAACCTGATGTTTTTGCCCAACTGTCGCTGGAGAGAAACGAAAGAAAGACGTCCTGAAGCGGTGAAGCGGTCCATAATAACCCCAGTCAGGTTCCCCAGCACAGCGAGCAGGCGCTGAGGCACATTCTCTACACGCCTGGTTTCTAGACTAGCCACCAAGCCAGAAACCCCGGACGCAGTCCTGTAATACCTGAGTCTCCTTCCCAGTGTTTCTTTTTCTTTCCCACCTGTGAGCCATCAGCCTTTTCATCCAGCCATCTCTTTCATGGAGATGCCAACATTTCCAAGGGGGGTAGAGAGATCATATTTCTGATCAAAAAAGTTGGGTATGACAGAAATTTTTTGATTTTTGTCAAAAAAATCAAAAGTCTTTCAAAGGCACAAAAGTGCTTGAAAGGTACAAAAATTGTATAGAAAATAGTTTCATGAGCTGCAAGAACCACTGCGGGAAATCAAGACTGTTATGGTTGCACAAATGAAGGAACCCTCCAGCCCCTTTTGGACATATTCCCCTTGAATATTTATTTCATCTACCTTCCTTACCAGCCCCTGACTTAAACATCCTGTTTGGGTTACAGTGGGTACCATGGCCAAGGGGAAGAAGGCGCCAGGCCAATAAGTCTTTCCATGATTGATGCTAAATACACGGAAAAGATGAAAGCAATCTTGTCCTGCCACTAGGATGTCCTCTTTGCCTTGCTGCAGCTACCCACTGTGACTCACAGGCCAGAAAGAACACAGTGCGTCAGAGAAGGAGGCTGGAGTAAGGGCCAGAGAGAGACTGATCGCTGGTGGGAGGGAGCTGAATGGATGGTGGGAGGAGGGTAAAGGACAGAAATTAGGTAGAAAAATAGTATTTAGAATTAAAGAAAAGCTGGATTAAAAAGGGAATTATTTTCCCTGAAGAAAAATATATAAACACAATAGTTTTTAATAAGAGGCAAAATATTTAATGGGCTTGATATATTAGATATAAAATATTTAATATGTACAGAAAATGAGTGACATTGAGGAAGAAAAAGAGGTAAGCTGTGGTCATCTGAAAGAAGACTGTAATGAATTGAATATACTGTAGAAATTACTGCCTTTATCTACAGCGGGGATTCTCAAGCTTGGCACGATTGACATTTGAGGCCAGATAATTCTTTGTTGTGGGGAGCTCTCTTGCGCATCACAGGGTGTTTAGCATCACCCCTGCCCTCTGGACACCAAACAATAGCAGCAACCCCTGTTCATTTCTGTCTGGACAACCAAAAACTGCCTCCAGGTGTTGTCCAATGTCCCCCGGTGGGGAAGATCGCCTCGGGCTGAGAATTACTGCTCTAGACCTAGGTCTTTTATGATTCAAAAGAAAAAAAAAAAGAATACATTATCTGATCTTTATCTTTAATGTGGCTAATATTTAATCCCACAAAGCTGCAAAAAGCCTTAGCAATCACCTTATCTGAACCCTTCGTTTTACAAAAAAAGTCAAGGTCCAGTGACTGGCCCAAGCTTATGGATGAATGACTGGTACCAAAGGGACCTGAATCCACGTCTTCGAAAACATATTCAGTGCTCTTTTCATGGTGCTCCACTGGTTCTCATAAATTTACACTGTGCTTCCCTTTTCTTACTGGGACAGAAAGAGAGGATCCGGCATTTTTACCACCTTACTGAAGGTGGCCTCCCTTGAGGAAAATGCCCATTCTCTCTTTGAACTCAAGAGTATCAAATCCACCTTCACCCAGCTCCCCCTCAGCTTTACGTGGCAGAAGGTGAGATTGCAGAGACATGAAAGAGATGAGCCCCAGGTCCCCTCCCCGCACCCCGGGCACCCCAGCATGCCAAGTCAGGAGCACAGAGAGACAAGGACTCGGATTTGATCTGCTGTATCCCAGCCTGGACCCGGCTCCCCGACACCACGGGGAGGGAACACACATCAAAAGCCCAAGTTCAGCCAGTGAAGTACAGCTTGAACAGCCTAAAGGGGTTTCAGTGAGGAGAAGGCTGCAAAAGGGTGTCTTCTAAAATGAGTTTAGCAGGAAGCGGCAGTTAGTGTCTACTCTAAGCAGATCAATAAGCAGGCACAGTTAGAACAGCCGATGATGTCAGACAAGAGGACGTGGTGTAACAAAGCCACAGGCCCTGTGGCACTCTTGCTGCCCTTTGGGAGATGGATGGGGGCCTCGGCAGGAGCGGCAGGAACAGCTCCTGCATCCTAGTCACAGTCTGGGCAGGGCTTCCCTCTGGGACTCCCAGCCCAGCCTTTGGTTGACCAGTTATCTGGTCATCTGGTCACCTGGTTACCTCTTCCCTATGTGTGCTGGTAAAGAGCTAAAAATGTTTCTCCAATCACCCTAGAATGAGACCTCCCGTGTCAGGGTCTGCCATCTACCAATGTTCTTGAATATCTAAGATGAGGGTATTTCTTCTACTCAGAATGGAAAGAATAATTCTTTAATGAGTTCCCAAGGAGAACTAAGCTTAACACATCAACGCTCTTTTGTTAGGATTTTGGCCACCATCACAAAAAGAATGAATGTGCTGATTTGTTTGTTTGTTTTTGTTAGAGCCCTTTTTATAACACTGTTGTCAAGTTCACATTGCTTATATTGAAATAAACTCTGAAAATGCGATGTTTATCGTGGCTACCAGACAAAAATCAAAGAGAAAATGGGGGAAATACATCAGATGCAATAAGAACAGGTGAAATAAGGTGTGTGGGACAAAGCTGGGGAAATGGAGAGCATGACGTTAACAAAGTTGAGAGTTAAAGAGGGAAATTGAGAGGAGGGTGAAGGGGGCAGACAGGAGGCCCAGGGAGGAGAAGCTGCAGCCGTGCTGGCAGGTACTACAGCCGAAGGGGGCGGGATGGGGGAGACTGGAAGGGAGGGAGAGGGAGAGGCAGGGACGGAATGAGAATGTGTGTGTATCTGGGGGCTGATTTATGTTGCGGGTATGTTCATCCTGGCAAAAGAAACACAATGCTGTTGCCTTTGAGAATGACAATGAGAATCTCTGTAAAGCAGCTGATTTAAAATTCCTCTGGAGAAAACAAATTCAGGCTGCTGGTTAGGGAGCTTGGGAGGAGGGCGAGGGAAGGAGGAGGGGAGGACCCAGGTCGTGCAAAAAGTGACAGCCACCATCCAGGGACAGGAAGGCAGCCTCTCCGTCTAGACAAAGGATTGTCCTCGCAGACGCACCCTGCAGTGGCCACAGGCCAGGGCAGGGCTGCAGGGCCACGGCCATGGTGACCAAGCCTCAGGCTCTCAAGGCCCAGGCTCTTGCACCTGATCTGTGGTTCCTGCTCCAAATGTTCCCCTCAACTGACTCAGAGGGGACGGGGCTGCTGGACACTTCATCTGATTTATTGACAACTAAAAAATGACTGCCGAGACCTATCTGCCATCTCAGATGTCGAACGAATTGAACAGGGATAAACATGGCTTTTTGGGGACTTTTCTTCCTCCCACTACTCAGGCATTGTCATGGGAAGACACAAGCAGTCACTCAAAACCAGCCCGTTAAGATGAGCTTGCCCGTAAGCTTTCAGGGAAATAAACTATTACCACTCCTTCCATCTATACACAGATGTATTTTAATAGATATGTATATTTTTACATACCCATGGATTCTTTATATGCACTGAGATAATAACCAGAGGGGAGAGTGGAACCTCTGTGCCTAAACTGAGTCCATGTTACTTGTGGCAGTGAATGGACTCACTGTTAGACTGGAATGTGAGCTCAAGGGGCGATATTTTATTCATTCAAATTTGGCCATTTGGCTGTAAAATGGAATGCTGGAGAATGATATTATAGGAATGCACATCTATATTTATGAGGCTCTTTTCCTATGGTGTAGAAATTCCAAGCACATCATATTCTGTAGTTCTCAACACTGCCAATTTAGATTTCCCCAGATTTTTCATAGCCATCCTTCATACTACGGCTATAAGAACAAGGCAAAGAGAAAATAAAATCGCTGTCTTCTTGAGCGAACTCCAGATACTCCCATAGTTAAAATGAATTTAAGAGAATAAGCAAAATCAAACGCACACAGATTTAAAGACATCTGCTCTGTGCAGAAGTGATGAAGAGCAGGTATTTATTCGTTGTGTCCTTGACAGCTGCACGAGGTGCTCAAATCCTCAAAAGTAAGACACTTTGGCATTTTAAAGTGAAATCCAGCCTGGCAGGAGATAGCAGCTACTGAAGACAGACGTTCTCCCTCCTGAGCTAAACAGTCTGTGGACTAATAGACTAAGCATTTTCTGACAAAGCTCTAGTATTATTCTAAACATCACCTGTGGGCTTGGACTGTGATATTCCTGATTCCTATCATTGGTAGGTGCATACATACTTCACAGCCTGGTTTGCCCTGAAATAAACAGGCACCTCCCTGATATGTACTCTGGGAACTTCAAGGTCATTGTAGTCCAATGCGTTGCAGTGCAAAGCTTACAAAGCCACTCCATGCTCTAGCAGATGAACAGTGATGTTCTATAAATGGCAGATTTTAAGAACTGGAGGGGCTCTTCAGATCATCCATTACACGCATCCTCTTGTTTTCCAGATGAGGAATATGAGGGTCAGAGAGCTTTAATGATTTGCCCTGAGACCACAAAGCCAGGTGATGGCAGAGGCCTGTCAGGCATTTTTTATTTCACTTACTGGCCATAGAACAACTGACTGGTATGTATAGTGTCCTCAAAAAGGACACCACTGTCGTTTCTGTCCCTTATGACTATCCTGTACATTAAAATTTGTTCTATTGCACATGCATTATCTTTATACTCAGGGGAAAAAAGGTAATTTTTCTTTTAAAGTTTCAATTGCTTGCTACAGAAATTTTGGCAGGTGGTAGATTCACATTGTTCAGGAAAGAGTAGGCTTATTTATGCTGTATTCAGTCATTCTGTACTCAGCAGATGGATACTAACCATTACTGGTACAACCTAGGACAGTTCTGGCTGAGGTGACTATATGTGGACACTAGGGGGCAACCTTTCCAAATGCAGTCATTACAGGCACAGCTCTGGTTTCCATGGGCTGGGAAGTTTCTTGAGCCAGAAAAAAAACACGTTTTTGGGTTTTTTTTTTTAATGGCATTCCAGTAGAAATCTCATTTCAAAAGAATGTCTTAATAATGGTGGCAAATTAGCTTGCTAGGACATTTACTGTCAAATAGGTGTTATCCACTACTTCTCTCTCTCTTTTTAAAATAAACATACACACATACACAAAGACAATTCCAGACATAAAAAACATACATGCGTCTGACATAAATAAACACCCTCATTCCATGCTGGAGTCTACGAGGGGGTGGTCTTTTATGCTGCTTACTAAGCATCAATACCAGCATAACGTTTTTATGGAAAAATGCAAAGCATTCATGCAAGTTAATAAGTTAACTACTATTTCTACAACTTACCAGGAACATACTGCTTAGTCGACTGAAAAATAAAGCAGAGTCTTTTGGGGGTGACACAGTGATATCTTATGGCACTCCAAAAATCACATTTGCTATGATAAGGGTCCCCATTTCCCTCCTTGAAAAGCAAAAGTCTCTTATTACATTGTTTCAAAACATAGCATTAGAGCTGTAAGGAAGCTTGTGCATATCCATGCAGCAGAAGCAAAATTAAGGCAGACCTCCTGTGAGTAGATGTGGTCCAGAGGAGAGCATTCAATTAGACAGCTATTCTGTTTCCCTTACATTTCTCCTCCAGCATTAACAGAATTGCTGCTTCAGAAAAGTTGTTTTACATTTTATTAACTATGAAATCAGATTCTTTAAACTTCTGCCTTACATCATTAATACAAACAACAGGCATTCACATATTTCTACTGAGTTTCTATATTTTCAACATTGCAGAATTATCTATTTTTTACAACTCCAAATCCACTTAGTGGAGTGGTGCTGATACGAGCTGTGGTATTACAAAGGTGCTACCATTTAAGACAACAGACTATTCCCTAATTTTTAAAGAACTCCTTGAAAGCCCTTGTGAAATACAGTTGGTTTGTAGACTGAGATTTGCAGGTCACTCCCCTCAGAAAGGGGCTATTATGAGGGTTCATTACTTCTTAGGAATAATATTCCAGGAGCCAAAAACTTCAAGAAGGAAAGGTAAGGAGGAGGGGGGGGCCAAGGTTTTCTCGGCCATCACTGCCCTTTCCTCTTCTCCAGCTGAAGAGAAGTGACTGAGGCTAACTATCCTTTCTGAGTCCATAAAATGTATAGCTGTACGTCCAGCAAGAAGCAAGAATGGGAGCTAGTCAAGATGTGCTGGAATTTGAAGGAAGTGCCTAGGTTAGTTCTGAGGGCAGGACTATGGCCTTGGCCAGCATGGTGGTAGGTATAAACATCTAGGCAAGTCTGGGTGTGGTTCCAGGGTGTTGGCTATTTCCCAGCTGCCATATGCTATATTTAGCTGAGTACCTGTGGAATATGTAACCAAACACAGGTCACAAAATACATAGCTTAATATTCAATAGAAAGAAGAATATTTCAAGCAAGTAGGAAAATTCTGAGTACCATGCTTCATCATGTCAATAGCTACTCAAGCCAGCTGTCTCCTTTATTATTTTTTTGCTTGGTCCATTCATTCATTTGTTCCTTCACTGTTGCAGACTTAGAAAGAGATGGAAAGCAGCACACCAGAGTCCCCTGTACAGTCTGGATCGCCTCCAAGCAGCCCAAGCTCAGAGAAGTGCTTGCTTAGGCACTTCTGCCGGGTAATTGAGTTCTACTGAGCACTCAGGCAAACCGAGGTTGTCGGATCCCAGGGGTCTTCGCTCCCCTTGCTTTTCCTGGATTTCCCGTTATTTCACTCTCATTCAGTGAAGAATTATTTTATCTTCATTATTAAGGGAGTTACCACCTGAGTCAATTTTAGGGCGGAAGACTGCCCACCTCTGCAGCGCGAACAGGAGGGAAGCGGAAGAGCTTCGCAGCGTCCCTCTGGGACAGGGCGGCTCGGGGGAGCCAGGGCCAGAAACACAGCAGAACCCGTGAGAGCCCTTCATGGCCAAGCGCAGAGCCTCGGAGAGGGTGCCTGCTGAGCGTGCCTGCAGCCGACAGCCAGCCCTGTGCTCAGGGGTCACGGCCGACACTCAGGGTAAGGGGTGCTCTCCTCCCACCCAAGTTCTGCAGCTTCTCTAGGGCACCTGTCCTCATTAAGTCCAGTTAAAAATGAGGGAGCAACTTGAGAGAAAAGGAGACGGGGTGTTCTGAAGGTGGGTACCACTTGACAATGTACCTCTCATGGGTGCACAGAAGCTTCCAGAGAATTAAGCCAGGTTTCAGAAAGCAAACATTCTCACCGGGAGTGACCCCTGGACTTCCCAATCCATGACTCAAGGCCAAGCCAGGGACCTTCCCCACTTCCCTCCGTGGCCGCCCCCCTCCCCCTTCCTATGCCTCTGACCTTCAAGCTGTCTTACCTGAAGAGTTTTGACTTTGCCCAGGATGTTGTCCTGTGACATTGCTTGAACTGTCTGCTCACTTTCTGCTCCCCCATCAGGGATAAAAATACTGTCATGGGAAAATGCCCGGGTTCCCATAGAATAGTTGAAGGACCTGGAATGCAAATCATGTGCTTCATTTTATTAGGATGATAAGACTTCTTTTGGCAATTCCATCTCCTGTTCCTCCTGATTCAGGGGACTCCACCCACATCCCCAATCTCACTCAGAAAGTGCTTCCAGCCCGCTGTCCTCTTCTGCGAGGGGTCAGCCAAGTAGCCGGGCAGACGGAAGTGTCCCTTGGGAATAAGAGAGCATGTCTCCTACACAGCATGTTTTAGGGCCGCTCACTGGGAGAACTCAGCGTGCTTGCTACCTGTTTGTGGAGGACCCAGGACAGAAAGCACTGCAAAAAGTTAGCTGCAGGAGCCTTTCTCCTGATGAGCTGTCAAGTCTTGTCAAGCAGTCCTTTTTAAGCAACATGAAGATCTCGAAGTATGAGGCAAGAATTTCTCCCTCTCAGATTGTAATCCATTGGGAAGAAAAATACGTACATCTAAAACAAAGACTTGATGAGGACTGGAACTGCTGATGGACACTATCGGAATAAGGAGCCTCTCTGTGAAGACTCCTCAGGAATTCAGAGGGGTGGGGGCACATGTGCTAAGGAGACTCTAAATGGGCGTCATGCATCGGGCAATGTATCAGTGGTAGGTTCCCAACAATAAGAACGCTTCAGTTGAAAGGCTGGACTTTGGAGGAATTCTAGACCTCTACCCTGACTGTGAGGTATAGGTTGGGTGAACTGCAGGAAGAGGGGGCAGCAGACGCCAACTATTCCTCACTTGATATGGGAAATTAAGCTATTTCTGGGAAGCAATACACAGGGACAGAATCACACACTCTCCGTAAGGCAAGACAGGCACACGTCCACGATGCCAGACACACGGGCAGCTATCCCAGGGCTGAGAGCTCTACTTCTCCCTCTCCCCTCCCCCACAGAAAGGGGTCCCATGGTGGGGGGGGTTTCATCAGTGATCAAGGGCAGGAAAGAAGAGCCAGTACTGGGGGAAAGGGCTCTTTGGCTGGTATCTCTGAGCTGAATTACAGAAATGCAGCAGGCAGTGTCCCAACTAAGTTTCTTGGGAAGACTGAGTACCAAACTATATCATCAAATTGGCCAAATTACCAGCAGCATGGTAACAAAGCATATGAAGTTTAGAGACAAAAGACTTGGACATAAGCCTCCTGGCTGTGTGATCATAAAAACAGTAATAATCACCAATTGCGACTTTGATGAAAACACTGTGCTGAAAGCTTTACTTTAGTGATCTCATCATAAACTTATTGTTGCAAATAAAACTCAAGGGGTAAACAGCCTTATAGGGTAGTGCTAGTGATAAAGAACCGGCCTGGCAAAGCAGGAGACACAAGAGACGCAGGTTCGATCCCTGGGTCGGGAAGATCCCCTGGAGTAGGAAATGGCAACCCACTCCAGTATTCTTGCCTGGAGAACCCCATGGACGGAGGAGCCTGGTGGGCTGCAGTTCATGGGGTCACAAACAGTTGGACATGACTGAAGTGACTTAGTATACAGTAGGCAAGTCACCTAAATAGAAGCTGTAGCATGAGAAACAGGATTCAGAACAGCTGAACACAACCCCATGGCAGGCAGCTGAAGTGTTTTAAAGTGGCAGAAGGGCTCTAGTATTCCTTCCCATGAGTGAGATGGAGTTTGGGTGGAGCAGTGGGAGAGGAATACAGGATGCCAGCGTCTTGGGGCTGGAATATGGGAAGGTTGGAGATGCGAAACAGCTGGAATAATGGGTGAGCCTTCAGTTACATAGCACAGGACACAGGAGGAGCAACCCACTTTATGAAATATGAGGCATTGTTTTAGCATATGAATATCAGAGGCAATTAAATGCATCATTATGTCCTCGTTCCTCAGAAACTTTGTGACCTGTGCTACCAAATGAACTTCCAAACTCACCCAACGATGCTAGGAATTAAAATTTCATTCAAAGTTATGGAATCAAACCTTTTAATATCCTGTCTGAACTTTTTTTCTCAGATTCCCTGGCTAGGATTCAGATGAAAGAAGAGGTAACGAACTTCATTTTCTACAGTGTTTTTACAAATGGCTTATGTACACCCATGGGCTCTCAGATACTCTTATAAACACATATATGCACAAGCCCACTTTAGATGCTTAATAAACATTTACTAATGTCTCACAGTTGTATGCACATAATAGGCCGACACTGGAAGGCCAAGTTCTCTTCCAGTTTCCAAGTCAATCTTCTGGCTGAATCATGACATTTTCTTTAAAGATTTTTTTTTTTTTTAATGTGGACCATTTTTAAAGTCTTTATTGAATTTGTTACAATATTGCTTCTGTTTAATGTTTTGGGTTTTTGGCCTTGAGGCACGTGGGATCTTAGCCCCTGACAAGGGATGAAAACACGCACTCCCTACATTGGAAGGCAAGTCAACCACTGGGCAGCCAGGGAAGTCCTTGAATCATGAAGTTTAACTCTCAGCTCAAATTCTTTTTTTTCCAGAAAAACTAAGAACCGACAGTTTCCTGCTTTTCTGTGTTTGTCCCAAATGTTCCTTGCTGCTAGCCAGGATTTAATGTCCCCACATTCTCCACTTCTAGATTATCTTACTGAAAAATAGAGAAAATGAACAGTACTAGGAGTAGTAGTAATAATTATAAACTAGTGTAATCAAAGTGGTGATATTAACACTGGCTAAATTTTACTGGGCACTTGCTATGTCCCCTCCATATGTGATAACTTCTTTAATATACCATCTCAATCCTTATGATATACACTATTTAAACCTTATGTGGTAGGAACTATTATTAAGCCCATTCACAGATGAGGAAACTGAGGCTTGAAGACAGTGAGCGACTTGCCATAAATTAAATGACTGTACATGTGTGAACCTGTTTCTGGCCTGTGTTGTCCTGGTCTATTTGTCTGTTTTTATAGCAACAGTCCCACGCTGTCTTAGTTACTATAGCTTTTTCCTTCCCCCGAAGTTATTTACTTTTTATTTTTGGTTGCTCTGGGTCTTCACTGCTGTGTGTGGGCTTTCTCTAGTTGTGGCAAGCGGACGCTACTCTTCATCGCAATGTGCAAGGTTCTCACTTCAGGGGCTTCTCCCAAGGGCTCCCGGGCAGGTGGGTTTCAGTAGCTGTGGCACAAAAGGGCTTAGCTGCTTGAAGGGATCTGGGATCTTCCGGGACCCGGGGTTGAACCAGTGTCTCCTGCACCGGCAGGTGGATGCTTACCCACTGCACCACCAGGGAAGTCTTACAGCTGTTTTATGAGTCTTGATATCTAGCAGTTTATGTTCTCCAGCTTTGATTTTTTTCCCAGGTGCCTAAACTTATCTTTGCATTTCTACGTAAACTTACATAAACACACACACACACACACACACACACCCTCTTAACACTCCTAGGACTGCTTCTCTGATGGCACTGGATCTGTAAATAAACTTTGGGGATAACTAATATCCTTACAACAGTCATTCTTTTCATCCATGAACACTGGATATCCCTTCATTTATTTAGATCCTCTTTACTTTCTCTCAATAAAGTTTTGTAGTTTTCTGTATAGAGGTCTTTATATATTTTCATAGATTTAGTCCTACATATTTGATGTTTCTGAATCTACTGTAAATGGTATAGGTTAAAACGTTTATTTTTCTAATCACTTATTGGCAGAGTATTAACATATCACTTGGTTATTGATTATTGACATAATTAGGCTTAACTACATTTATTAATCATAATAATGTGATTGTTGATTCTTTTGGATTTTCTATGTATACAGTCATTTTATCTGTGACAAAAGACAGCTTTATTTGTTCGTTTTCTTTCTTTCTCCTTTTTTGGTCGCTCGTTCTCTGACTGGGGATTAAACCTGGGCCCCTTTCTGTGGAATTACAGAGTCCACCACTGGACCACCAGGGAATTACCCTATTCGTTCATTTTTCAATCTCCCTCTCCCTTCCCTCCTTCCATACTGCAATTAGCTACAATCTTCATAGGAACTTAAAACAGAAGAGGTGATGGTAGACTTTGTCATGTTCCCAAGCTGACCAAAAAAGCGTTCAATATTTTTCCATAAATTATGATGTTAGGTAGGCTTCTCAGATGGCACGAGTGGTAAACAACCCATCTGCCAAGGCAGGAGACATAAGAGACGTGGGTTTGATCCCTGGATTGGAAAGACCCCTTGGAGGAGGGCATGGCAACCCACTCGTGTTCTTGCCGGGAGAATCCCCATGGACAGAGGAGCTGGTGTGCTATGGTCCTTTGAGTAGCAAGGAGTCAGATATGACTGAAGCGATTCAGCTGTAGAATTTCTGTTTCTTTGAAAAAACAGGCAATCTGTCTTTTACAACTGATTTTAAGATTTTCCTTTGTCTTTGGTTTTCTCAGTTATTTTCTCAGTTGTGGCTAGTTGTGAATGTCTTCTGATTTATCTAGCTCAGGGTACATAATACTCCTTAAACCCATGGCTTGGCGTCTTTCATCAGTTTGGGAAAATTCTCAGCCATTGTTTCTTCAAATACTGCTTCTGCCCCATTTTTCCCTATCCTCTTCTGATTCTGCAATGTTAGACCTTTACAATATAAGTCATGTCTTTCATGTTCTTTTTTGTATTCATCATTCTTTTTAATCAATATGATTCAGTCTGGATTTTTCTACTGACCTAACTTTCAGCTTACATTAATGTTCCCTTTAGCGGTGTCCAGTCAGTGGACACTACCTACTGAGTTCTTACTATCAGTAGCATTTTTCAGACCTAGAATCTCCATTTGATTCTTTTTAATAGATTCCAGTTGTCTCATGAAATTATCCATCTTATCAACTATTTTATTGACTATGGTAATCACAGTTATTTGAAAAGCTCTGTCTGAAAAAGCAATATTTTAGTCCCTTTGGTTTTTTCTTTTTTTTTTTTTTTGCTGCACAGTATGCAAGATCTTAGTTCCCAAACCAGGAATCAAACCTGGGCCCTCTGAGGTAGAAGCAGTGTCCTAACCACTAGCCCACCAATAAAGTCCCTTTTTAAGAAAAAAAAATTTGTTTTT